GATTGATATTTTATAGATGAAGACCTCTAGGATGTGACCAAGTTTCCTTAGCTTTTAGCACTTAGTTAGAAGTCTGATTTATGAAGATGTGTTCTCACCTCGTTAGGGTAATACTTAGTTTAAATGGGGTGAGATGTTATTTATTCACTTGAGCCCCACCCTTACACAATAAACTGGAGGTGTTTGTCCTAGAGTAGAGAAGGGGGGGGGGCTGGGAGACAGGAAGAGCCTCCAGGTGGAAGAGGTAAACTTAGGAGGAGGCAAGTTCTCCATTGTTGTTCTTCAAGAGAAGCCTGGGTGAGCATTTTGCCAACGCTGGAGAGCCTATTTCTGTCCAGATAGTGGTTGGGCAATGACCTCCTGGCCCACTCTGAGGTTGTGATATAAGTAGGCATATGGGTATATACTGCACAGGCTACCAAAAGCAGAGTCACAATAGTGTTTGCTTTTGACCCCCACCACCGATTTGTCGATTTGACCCTGTGTCTCCATGATGCCCAAGCATCACATCAGTTTAGTTCAACTTCATTCGGACCCAAGTTCAGTGCTTGCTGCCATACTTCCCTCTTCCTCTAGCACTGGGGTATGCTCCGTGTACATTACAGAGTAGCCCAACCCAATAACTTAGGGATAGACGGACACCCTCCCCAACACATACATGTACATACGACCACTATGCTGACCCTAGGAGAGAAGTACTCAAACCAAACACCGAGGACATTGCAGCTACACATGATTACATGGTCCAATCATTAAGATAATCAAGTAGTTTGGCCCAAGCAACTTCAGCCCCTTCATTATTCTGCAGCTTGCCCTAAACATTCCGGTGAAAGTTCTTATACAATCATCTGATGTTATCGCTGCAACCTTAGCACAGCACTAGTTTCCCAAGGATGTCTCTCACATGCAACACAAGGAGCCTCCTACACTCTCTTTGGCCTCAGTGGCCCACAGTGAGCCTATCCCCCTGTGCTACTGACACCATCCATATATTTGGATTTGGGGGAAGGGAGAACCTGATTAATTCATTAGGTTTGTGACTGAATTTACTAGATGTTTCAGTACCACAGACACTTTTTGCCCCCGTTTCCCCACTGGTCAAAATAGGGACAATATTATTTCTCCCATAGGAGGCAGTAAGAATGACTTTCTGTCTGGAGTAATGAGATCTTAATAAAGGGTACAGGGAAGGGCTGCCACCTACATATAAGACAGTGAAAAGCTAGGTTTCTTTTCTTCTAATCCATAGGTCTTTGAGATGTTTCAAAAACTTTGAAAACTATTAAGTGTTACACAGATGTAAGGCATATTCAGAGAATCACAGCACCATAGAGGGTTGGGGAGGAAAAAGACCTAAGAGAGACTTGTCCAAGCCGCTCATTGCACAGAGGAGGAAGCTGAGCCCCACAGAGGGGAAGGGATTTGCCCAAGGTTCCACACAGAATTCTTCTCACATTTGTTATTCTCTTATTCACAGCTTCCCCAATGCTTCCTTTGAGGGCTGACACTCTCCCTATTTTGAGTTCTGGCCAAAATGTGGCCTTTTTTAAGGTCTGAAAACACTTGGTCCAGCTGTTCCAAGTACCACAGATTGGGGAAAATTCTTTAGCACAGATGCTTTGAGCTCAGAGCATTCAGGCAACTGAACAGCAACCATTACAATTGGCCCCAAGCTCATCCTTCATGAGAAGCAGGTGCTTACTCATTTACTTATTTATGTTTGCTTGTTCTGAGAGGAAATAGAATTGTTCATGGCCTGTATGTAGGATGTGAAAGGAGGGAAGCAATGAGGTCCCTAACAAACTTGACCATGCTCCCTGTCAAGGTCCTTTTGGGGCTTTACAGGATGAGAGGAGGGCCAAAGGAAAAAGGAAGAGGGAAAGAATGGACAGAGTTCATAAGATCACAAATATGGAGCTGGAAGGGATTTCAGTGGCCATCTAGTTCAATTCCTTCATTTTGCAGATAAGAAAACTGAGGCCCAAGGATGTTAAACAATTTGACCAAGGTCACACAGCTGACAGCTGTGGCAGAGCTGGAATTCATACCCATATCTCATGACTCCAAATTCAGTATATTTTTTACTGTGTCATTCTGTGTGGGACATACAGGAGTGTTAGCCCAGTTAGAAAGGCAGGGCAGCCTGGCTACATAGCTGGGAAGGCAGCAGCTGTGGGTAATGGCCCTGGAGTAGGCAACAAAGGGTCGCTGACACTGGAGTTTACTCAAGCCCCTACATAAAAGGAAGGATAAGCCAACTGCTTGTGTTTGAAAATTTAGCTCTTATGCATTACTGTTTGTGTAGGACTTTCTAATGTTGGAGGAGAAAGGATGGCAATAGGTGGTCTCATTACAACACAGCAACATGGTTCCCTTCCAGCCTCAAGTACTACACCCATAGTGAAACAACAACAACACTTTTTCTATAGTTATACTACACACATAGTTCCATAACATGGTGGTTTCAGATGCATGTTTATGGGCACTAAAGAATTATATAGGGGCAGCTAGGTGGCGCAGTGGATAGAGCACCGGCCCTGAAGTCAGGAGGACCTGAGTTCAAATCCGGCCTCAGACCAAACACTTGACACTTACTAGCTGTGTGACCCTGGGCAAGTCACTTAACCCCAATTGCCTAAAAAAAAATGGTAAAAAAAAAATTCCCCCTGAAATCAGGCCCTCAAAGCTAAATAAAAAAGAGAACTGAGCAAATTATTAAAAAAAAAAGAATTATATACAAGGGTCAATCTTATTTCTTCATATCTGCATGCAAAAATCAGCTATATGTCACATAAGAAAATGAGACTGCTCATCTAGCTTTGAGGAGAAACATGCAGAGAGTTATTCATCTCCTGATGAGGATGAGCAGCACCGAACCATCCACAAGTTCTTTCTCATCTCATCCTCCTTGCACCTGTCCCTGAGCATTTGCTCATAAAGTCCCTTCCTCTTCCTCTCTGACTATCTAAACCTCCCTCATATTTTAAGGCCCTTTTCAATTTCACTCACCCCCAAACTTTCCTTGACCAGTCTAGCCCACATTGACCTCCTCTACTCTCAACTAACCCTGGTCCTTATTTTCTCCCTTCTCTTTATCACGTAATATGAATATAAATGTGTATGTATTCATATTTATATGCATATAGCTATTCCAACCATGTTCTGTACATTTTTCTGTTATAACATCTTCATTACCATCATTATCAAATATTTATTCTACACTCACCAAGTACATAGCATTTTACTAGCCACTAAAGGAGTCACATTCAAACACTCCTCCACTGTAGTGAATTATGAACCACAGCACTATTGCTGAGCCTTTCCAAACACAAGCTAAGCCTTATAAATGTTTCTCTGTTTTAAAAAAAAATTAAACTAATATCATCACACAGAAGCCCCAACACTGGCCTAGTGACTGCTTTGAATTGGTCCTGAGCACAACTGACAGGTTTCTTTACCAGGAGCAGGAACTAGCACCCCCAAGTCACTGAGGCAAGGATGGCTCCGCTTCCTTGGGCCATGATAAGCCACTTTTCCCCATCACTCACTACCAAACACTAATCTAAACCAACTGGACCATTCCCAATCACTAACAACCATCACCTACTTTGGTTAGGGATAAATGAGACTTGTAGACAAGCATCAGTGGGGATTATGAAGTCCTTGGAAAGGAACTGAAGACCTTAGCAGGGCATAAGTGGGGGGGGGGGGAGTTTCACAAAATATCTGTGGGGATTTCAGATGCAGCAAATTCACCAGGGACAGAGCACATGGAGTGTTTCTCCAATTCAGACATCCTTTAAGTGGGTAGTGATTGTCTCCATATCCTGAAAAAATGTGAGCTGACCTCAGTGTTTGTGAACAGCCTAGGTTAGAGTCTCAGGACAGTGGGCTTTGGGTGGGGCTCAGGCTAAAAGAGGAGTGCCAGTGGCCACCTAGAAGACATTGGCAAAATGGCCACTAGGGGGCGCTATTTTGCAATTTGGCTCCAGCCTCCCTTTCCAGGCTTATGGGACACCCTTCCTCTGTTTCCTACTTCCACAAGTTTGCCTAGGTTGGCTGTTGCCCAGGCTGCCTGTTCCCCAGGCCTGTAATATACTTCCTTACCTCCGCCTCCTCTTTACCTCTGCCTCTCAGAAGCCCCAGCTTTTATCAAGATTCAGCTAAATACCACCTGCAACATACCTTTCTTGATTCCCTTTATTGTTAGCACTGCTCCATCAAATTACTTTGCATTAATTTATCTGTGTATATTTTCTGCCTCCCCCCAAATAGAATGAAAACTCCCCTAGGGCAGGGTCTATTTTTGCTTTTCTCTCTGTATGGTTTTGTCTAGGATGGTTCCTGGCACACAGTAGGCACTTAATAAATGAGATCAGGCAAAGGCCTAGGATCCCCAGGAAATAGCCATCTCAGGTTGGCCTGGACTCCTGTTTTCTTTGGGAGGTTGTAGGGTACAAATAAGATTCTTTGGCATAAGCAGTTCCCACCACCTTTTCCCAATGTCCTTTCCCCAGCCTCCAAAAGCAAATGCATACTCATGCTCTATTGGGAGGCAAGGCATCAGGCATGAGAGAGGCAATGGTCCCACTGTGCCCTGCTCTGGTCAGATCACCTCTGGAGTACTGTGTTCATTCTGCAAACTCCATTTTAGGAAAACCATTGAAAAGCTACAGTGTATTCGGAGGTGAGCAGCCAGGCAGGACACTAACTGGATGGAAGACTATGGCATAAGGGGTTTGGCTCAAAGAATGGGACATGTCTACCATGGAGGAAAGAAGACTTGCTTGGCTTGGCTGTGTTAAAGGCAGGGGAGGATGGACCATTCTAGCTGCCTTTCAGCATTTTAAGGACTGTCAAGTGTTCGGTTTGGCCCCAAGGGTCAGAGTTAGGAGCAAAGGCTGGAGCTTGCACAGGGTCTAGTGGACCGAAGGGTTCCTTCTTGGGTCATCCTTCATTGAGCCCACGCCATTTTCTTTCCTGTTCGAAGCACCACCTACCTGGTTAATGTGTTTCAGTTTGTCGATAATTTGACTTATTATTGGCTCAGGACCTTTTGTTTTCATGTCATGGGTGCTGGTCAGACCTTTGGATACATTCTTGGCCACCTTCTGGCTGTACCTAGGGAAGGGAAGGGGGTGGAGGGGAAAAAGAAAGAAAAGTATGTCACAATAGTCCTAAGCACAATGAGGGCGACTACAACCTTCAGAACCATACCGGTAAGCATACCACAGAACAAAGGAGACTTATTTGGGTGAATGGAAACTACCCTGGTCTGGGAATCAGGACTGGGTGAGAGGTAGGGAAGGAGATAGAGCACAATAAAGTGGTTCAAATCCTAGCTCTTCTACTAACTAGTTGTATAATGCTGGGCAGCCTATTTCCCTTCTTGGGGCCTCAGTTTCCTCATCTGCAAAATGGCAATAACAGAACTCACGCCCTTTGTCACGGGGCTGTTGTACTGAAAGTATTTTGGAAACAATAATGCACAACAGGCATGGGGATTTCTATCATTTTTATTATTGCTCTAAGTGGGCTTGATTTAAAGGGGAGATGTGTGTGTGTGTGTGTGTCCTTTCCTCCAGTTTAAGAGAGAGGCTTCTGGCATGCTCTTGGCCTCCTCCTTTTCCTCCCCCCCCCCCCCCCCCACTTCCTGCAGGCCTTGTGGCTGGATTTCTTTTCAGGAGGCCTTCCCAGGCCCTTTGCCACATAAATTAAGCCCATCGGCTTCCCCCCTGGGCTCGATATGGGAAGAAAGTATATGGGCTTGAGCGAATGTTTTTAATATATTCCCCCAGGACCTGCCATAGGTCGTGGCTCCAAAGTGAAGTGACAAGATTCCCATTGAAAGCCCCACAATGATTAGAAGAGCAAGTGAGTGTTGGGGGTGGAGGGGAGCAGCTAGGCATGGCCACCATGGGGCTTGTGAGGCTCTCCCATCCCCAGCCCGCCAGGATGCTAAGTGACTAGCAAGGCTCCACCTCCGGCCAGATGCTGCTACCCCAGAGTGGCTTCCCATCTCTTGGGATCAAACACACATTTGTCTTTTTCCTTTCTCCTCCATACGGTAGGAACATCAAAAGACGGTGGACTGTGGAGAAAAAAAATCTATTTTGGGGGGGAAGGGCTAGAGGGGGGTGTTAGGTTTCCCCTTGGATCCTGATGGCAAAATACCTTCACAAAGAAACTAAACAACTGAGAATGCCCTATAGTCCCTCATTCACTATGGATTTATTAATAATAATTATAACTCATTTCTATAGTACCCCAAGGGCTACAACAGACTTTCCTTAAAACAACCCTTTAGGTAGGTAAAAATAACAACTCACATATTGATAGCACTTTAAGATTTACAAAGCCCGTTCCTCAAATAAACCAATAAAGCTAAATGAATAGCTACTTAAGCTATTAAGGCTTAAAACCTCACTAAGATTTTAGGACATCCTGTATATAAGGCAATTTTGAAGGGAAGGCATTTTATGTTCACTATCCCACTTGAAGAGGGCACTGTAGTTTATGGAGGACCAGGACTAGAATCAGGAATACCTCAGTTCAAATATGCCTTTAGATACACTTCCTAGTTGTGTGACCCTGGACAACTCACTTAACCCTCTTTGCCTCAGTTTCCTCATCTGTAAAATGAGTTGGAGATGGAAATGGCAAACCAGTCCAGTATCTCTGCCAGGAAAACCCCAAAGTGGGTCACGGAGAGTTGAACACAACTGAAATGACTGAACAACAACAAACATCCCATTTGAACCTTCCAACAACCCTGTGAAGGAAATGCTATTATTATCCCCATTTTAAAGATGAGAAAACTGAGGCTCAGAGTGGTCAAGTGACATGGTTAATAAGGATTAGACCTCTGATTTGAGCCTCCATCTTCCTGATTCCCAGGACGGAGCAGGCTGGTCTCTGGCATTCTTTTTTCAGCTGCAGTAGTGCGATTGTGTTCTTGTCTATTAGCATTTCTAATCCCTAATTATGAAATTCAAGATCATCATGATTTGGGAATGTGTTCATGTGATTTTCTTTGATTTCCTCCCACTGGGAGCAGAAGCATATGCCAATATTAGGAATATGCTTTGACAAACATGGTTTGCATGTCAGATGTGGGCGTGGTCCATAAATCTAATGTCTGACTTTTGGTAACAAAAAGCTAAATGTGTATGTGGGGGGGGGCAGGGGGTAGTGGGAAGAATGGTTTATTGAAAAACAGATGAAGAGCACATATTATTACATTCCTTCTAAAATTGAAAAGTTGGAAATATTTGGCATATGAAACTTTGAAAATGAGTTTCTAAATGTGCTGTGTGACCTTGGGTAAATTACTCTAGTCTCTGGGCTTCATTTTCTTCATGTATGAAATCAGGATATTGGACTAAATGAATTCTAAGATCCCTTCCATCTCTGACAGATTATGGTTTTTTAATTCAGTTAGTCAACAAGCATTTAAGTGCCTACTGTGTGCCAGGCAATGTGCTAAGCACTGGAGATACAAAGAAAGGAAAAAAAAACCCAGTCTCTGCTCTCAAGGAGCTGACAGTCTAATGAATGAGACAACATGCAAATGACTATATACAAACTAGTGGCAGACAGAATAAATTGGGGCTACTCAGCAGGGGGAAAGCATAGCATTAAAGGGGATCTGCAAAGACTTCTTGTAAAAGGCTGGGTTTTAGCTGGGATTTGAAGGAAGCCAGGGAGGCGAAAGAACTGGAGATGAGGAGAGAGAATTCTGGGCATGTAATTTACTGGACAGTCCAGTAAAAATGCCCAGAGCCAAGAGATGGAGTGTCTTGGTTGAGGAAAAGCAAGGAAGCCAGAGCCATGGAATTTTAGAGTACATAGAGCGGGGTAGGAAGGTGTGAAGACTGGAAAGATGGGAGAGGGCTAGGTTCTGAAGAGCTTTGAATGCTAAAACGAGGATTGTATATTTGATCCTGGAGGTGATAGGGAGCCACTGGAGTATACTGAAAGTGCGGGAGGGGGAGAAGGGGTTCGATACAACAATTATCAGACTTACGCTTTAAGAACAAATTTACATTGATAGCTTTTGGTGGGGTGAGAAGGATGCTTTGAAAGAATGGAAGGATTCTTTATTTCATGGAGTCAGCTCATGGCTAACCTCCCTGTTTATAATACTGCTGGAGACCAAAACAGCAACACAGCTATGTCCTATGCCTTTGAGAAGCCTGCAGCTGAAATCCAGTTCAACTGGCTTTCTTGCTGTCCCTCTTGTCCAGTCCTCCATCTTGCTGCTCACATGACTCTGAAGCTTATATATGAATTCTAAATCCATAACTCTAGCAGTAATCTCTCTCTTGAGCCCCAGGCCCACATCATTTCACACTGTATAGCTCAAAAGCTATCTCAAAATCAACATGTCCAAAACAACCCTCATCATTCTTGTGTCCCTAATCCCCCTCTCTTTTGAACTTGCCTATCTCCGTCAAGGACAGCATCGTCTTTCCAGTCACCCAGATTCACAACCTCAGTCATGCGTGACTCTTCATTCTCCTTCACTCCACATATCTATTCAATGGCTACATTTGGTAGAATCCACTCCCACAACATCTCTCATATTTGCCTCCTTTTTCCTATTCACGTACTCTAGGTCAGGCTTTCATCACCTCTCACCTGGACTATTGCCATGACCTCCTAATTAGCCTCCTAATTAGTCTCCCTGCCTCAAGTCTCCTCCCCTGGATCACTGAAGAGTACTGTGAAATGCCAGGCTGGATGAATCAAAAGCCAGAATTCAGGTTGCTGGGAGAAATATCAACCATCTCAGATATGCAGATGATACCACTCTGATGGCAAAAAGTGAAGAGGAATTAAGAAGCCTCTTGATGAGGGTGAAAGAGGAGAGTATAAAAGCTGGCTTGAAGCTTAACATCAAAAAAACCTAAGATCTTGGCAACTGGTCCCATCACTTCCTGGCAAATAGAAGGAGAAGAAATGGAAGCAGTGTCAGATTTTATATTCTTGGGCTCAAAGATCACTGCAGACTGTGACTGCAGCCGTGAAATTAAAAGACGCTTGCTCCTTGGAAAGAAAGCAATGGCAGATCTGGACAGCATACTAAAAAGTAGAGATATCACCTTGTGGACAAAGGTCCATATAGTCAAACCTATGGTTTTTCTAGTAGTAACGTATGGCTGCGAGGGATGGACTATAAGGAAAGCTGAGCACTGTAGAATTGATGCTTTCAAACTGTGGCACTGGGGAAGACTTATGAGAGTCCCTTGAGCAGCAAGGAGATCAAATCAGTCAATACTTTAGGAAATTAAGTCAGACTATTCACTGGAAGGTCAAATGCTGAAGCTGAAGCTTAAATACTTTGGCCACAGAATGAGAAGGTGGGACTCACTGGAAAAGACCCTGATGTTGGGAAAGATTGAAGGCAAAAGGAAAAAGGGATGGCAGAGGATGAGATGGATAGAGGTATCATGGAAACAACAAACATGAACTTGGACAGACTTCAAGATATAGCGGAGGGCAGAAGGGCCTGACGTGCTATAATCCATGGGATTACAAAAAGTCGGACACGACTGAACAAATGAACAGTAACAACTTCAAGTTTCCCCTCTCTCAACTTTATCCTATACACATCTTCCAAAGTGATATTGCTAAAGCACTGGCCTATGTGACTCTCCTACTCACAATTCTCTAATGGTTCCCCATTGCCTCTATGATAAAGTACAAATTCCTTTGTTTTGGCATTTAAAATCCCTCACAACCTGGCACCCACCTACCTTTCCAGCCTTATAGTACATTATATCCCTTTACACACTCTGTGTTCCAACTGAATTTGCTTTCTTGCAATTCCTGACACATGATACTCAATTCCCTGCACCCAAGTCTTTGAAGAAGCTGTCCCCCATGTTTGGAATATACTCCTTCACCACTTCTACTTCTTAGAATCCCAAAGTTCCTTCTAAGTTCAAGTCTAGTGCTACCTTCTAGACAAAGCCTTTCTTGAACCACCCTCATCCCAGGTCTTTTTGCCCCCACTCCTCCAAATTACCTTTTATTTATTTTGCATATACTTGTAGAAAGTATAAGCATATGTTACTCCCACTCCTAATTCAATCTATATAAGCTAATTGAGAGAAGGC